TCCTCAGTTGAACAGGCTTCCTCAGGGGGTGGTGGGCTCTCCTTCTTTGGAGGTTTTCAAACAAAGGCTAGATGGCCATCTGACAGCAATGCTGATTCTGTGAACTTAGGCAGATCATGAGAGGGAGGGCAGGGAGGGTTGCAGCCTCAGTGCTTAGTTCTTGTGGCCCCTTCTTACACGCACAGGGAAATGCCGATCGCCACTTTGGGGTCAGGAAGCCATTTTTCTCCAGGTCAGTAGGTCTGGAGATCCTGGAGGTTTGTTGTCATCTTTTGGGCATGGACCAGGAGTCACTGTGGGTGTGGGGGGGAGGTATTTGTGAATTTCCTGCATTGTGCAGGGTGTTGGACTAGATGACCCTGGAGGTCCCTTCCAACTCTATAATTTTCTGATTCTATCCACTGGGGGGGGCAATACAGATGACTGCAGCAGAATTGGGAAGTGAAAAATTACTGTTTACACAGCATAGCTTCACTTCATAGCTTCACTTGCCTTGCATGGCATCCCAGCTAGGGTTTTCAGACTTTGTAAACTCTGTCATATTTCTAAATTAATCTTATCATGGAATCATAGAATCATAGAGTTGGAAGGGACTTCCAGGGTCATCTAATCCAACCCCCTGCATAATGCAGGAAATTCATAAATACTTCCCCCCCCCAGTGACCCCTGCTCTATGCTCAAAAGAGGGCAAAACCCCCCACAACCCCCCCCAGAATCTCCAGCCAAAGTGGCCTGGAGAAAAATTGCTTCCTGACCCCAAAATGGCGACCAGCGTTTCCCTGGGCGTGTAAGAAAGGGCCCCGAGAACTAAGCACTGATGCAACCTTGTTTGCCCTCCTTCTCATGATCTGCCCAAGTTCACAGAATCCGCATTGCTGTCAGATGGCCATCTAGCCTCTGTTTGGAAACCTCCCAAGAAGGAGAGCCCACCACCTCCCGAGGAAGCCTGTTCCACCGAGGAACAGCTCGAACTGTCAGGAAGTCCTTCCTAATGTTTAACTGAGAAAACGTTTGATTTACTTTCAACCCGTTGGTTCTGGCCTGACCTTCTGGGGCATATGATCCCATCCGTTTGTTTTTGGGAGGGTATTGATCTAGAACTTTGCATTTTAAACATTTCATGTGCCATAAAGTTCTCCAGTTCTATTTGCAAGACTCAAAATGGGCCTTCTCATTTTAACTGAAATTCTCCTCTGTCTGAGAGCTAGACTGCTCTTTCTGTGGCACTGGTGATCACAACAAAGCCACAGTTTGAATTTTTTTTCCCCTGGAGAGAAAGAAGCTTTTCCCCAGAAGAATATGTATTAGTGTGAGTGATAAACATACTAATTTTTCCTTTTTCCTTTCCTCTTTTTACAAAAGATGCAAGTGATCAGAGAGAGGACATCTATATTGGAAACCACATTCCTTGTTCAGAAACCTTCAATGGCTATTGCATCCATGGGAAATGTGAATTCACTTATTCTACACAGAAAGCTTCCTGCCGGTAAGTCAGTGAATGCACAAAAGCATCATTTGGGAAGTGTAGGGGTTTTTTATCTCCTATTGCATTGATCGTTTTCGTTGACTTGAATTTTTTGTTGTAATTTCACTGTTGTAGTGAAACACTGTTGGTAAAATGTTGAGAAGACTCCTGTTTCTAGGAATCTTTCTTGACATAAGAGAACATAATAACATAAGAGAAGCCAATGTTGGATCAGGACAATGGCCCATCCAGTCCAACACTCTCTCACACAGTGGCCAAAAATACCAGGTGCTATCAGGAGGTCCAGCAGTGGGTCCGGGACACTAGAAGCCCTCCCACTGTTGCCCCCCCCCCAGCACCAAGAAGACAGTGCATCCCTTGCCTTGTGGCTAATACCTTGTGGTTAATAGCCACTGATGGACCTCTGCTCCATATAAGAACATGAGAGAAGCCAATGTTGGATCAGGACAATGGCCCATCCAGTCCAACACTCTCTCACACAGTGGCCAAAAATACCAGGTGCTATCAGGAGGTCCAGCAGTGGGGCCAGGACACTAGAAGCCCTCGCACTGTTGTCTCC